CACGAGCACCGTCATGGACAAGCTCACAGGCAGGCAGCCCATTGTGCTGCTAGATGTGCGGCCCGAGGAGGAACGGCAGGTGTCCGTCATGCCCGGGGCTATCCCCGTCACATTGCAGCCCGCGCCCGCGGCGACCTGGGGCTACGCCCTGGCGGGTGGCCCGGCGTCCGCGGCGGCACGCATCCGCGAGACGCTGGCGGCCGCCACAGCGGCGGCGCAGCCGTCGGCACAGCCTCCCGTGGTTGCTGCGTATTGCTCCACAGGCGAGTTGGGCGGCGTGGCGGCGCTGTTGCTCAGCGAGGCGCTAAGGATTACAGTGTACAACATGTGTGGCGGCATTATCAATTACTACAACCAGGGCGGCTCCGTTATTCGGGTCGCCGATGGCAAACAGGTGCAGGCGCTGCACCCCGGTAGCCAACAGCAACGTGCCTTCGTCACGCGGCCAAACAACTACCGTTGACGACTGGGGCTAGGGCTAACGCAGCGCGTTCCAGCATAGTTGTTTGGCCCGTCCAGAATTAGGCAGCTAAGTGGTGAAGCCTAATGCTACGGCTAGAATACCTACACGGCATTTTTCGTGCTGTTAACCTCCGCACGCTTGCTACCGACCTCAGCAGACAGTGTTGTGGCCCCGGTGCGATTTGCATGCTAGGGGTTGACTTCGACGATGTGTAGACCTGAATTTCCGCGTAAATACACATTCGCAATTATGCGGCTCCTGACATGGCTATGACAGTGGGCCCTGCAGCGCAGGCTCGTTCTAATTACTGTTTGTGCACTAAATGTTGGTCAGTGCGATGGAGGAATACGGTCGAGGGGAGCCCTCGGCGAATGCGAGTGTACGGTTTCGCGAAGAAGGGCGGTAGGTACTAGCCTTGCTAGCCTTCGTTGGGGCCGCGCTGTTGCTGCGGTGGCGGCTAATGCAGGGAGGCACGAATATTCAAATAACAGCCGTGTTTCTGAATGGCAAGGCGCGGCGAACTGCAGGGGCAAGCGAGGGCCCAAGCGAGGCGGAGGGTGTACCGCACACCATGCATACACCCAACACGCGCGTTGCAGGTCTCCGAAAAGAAAAACATCCTCATAATCGGTGCGCAACTCATTGACATGAATCACCCTCGTCACCAAGGCAAAAGGACGCACCGACAAACAGGCAGAAGGGTAAGGAGGAAATGCTTAGGCTCTGACACCTCCTCTTCTGGAAACCAGTACAAATCCCTAGAAATCCCTAGCGCCGCCTGGCCGGCAGACCTTTCGCTAGGTAAAAGCGGAGACTGGGAATGGGCGTTACCGGTTTGCCGTCTCTGGAGTTGCTTTATATGCGCGTGCATACAGTGCTACTGGGCTGATGGACAGGATCTATGCGCTCTGGGCATTTGAACCAGTCGCAGTGAACCTCACATAACTTTCGCTATCAAACGCAGGTTAGGGGGATACTCAAAGCAGCGTCGCGAGTGCATTATTGCCTGACGATCGTGCAATCATTTTGGAAGATATAAGTGCTGAAGCTTAGCTTGTTATGGCATAACATTATGGGATAACGTTCAGTGCCTGCTGATGTTTAGGTGCTTGGAGCAAGAATCGTATCGAAGCACAACCTTCGGAAAGCAGTTCAATAACGAACTTGATCATATTGGCCCGATGTCGACCAGCGCTACTTTTACAAGGATATTGTTCGGTTTCAATACTTTCCCAAACCGTTACGAACCCCGCGTCAACCTGTACAACAGACTGCAGGACAGGCATGAGGATATGTGCGGGGTATATGTGTTAGCAGTGGGTATCCACTGTAGACTGGACATGTTGCTGAACACTTTCGTGCCCTCACAACGCCCCAACGTGCACCGCGTGCTCTCGGGTGCCCTGGATGCGACCACTCAGTCCGCTCGCCATTTTGCTTATCTTATGGGTTCAGGGCAGAGTTTGCTAAAGTGGTGCATGACTCGCCATTGATCCCTTGCGTGTGTTATGGTATACGTAGTGCGGAGTGACTAGCCAATCTATCTGCCAGATTCAGATACAGGCGGAATTTCCTTCTTTGCTGCGTCTCATGTTTGCGTATGCAATGCACCTTCCTTTCACATTAGTATATGTGGAAAACTTGAAGGGCCAGGCAGTTCCTTAATGCTCCAGGGGCTCCGCTCTAAATGCCGTACGATATGTAGAGAGGCTTGAGTTCGGGTAAGCAATTGCTTAGCCTACCTGTGCAGGTTATTACTACCTTCTAACCGCAACTCCGTGTTAACACACTTATTACTATTTAGGTTCGGTGACAGTAACCCGCCAGCAGCCATGGCCGATCCCGCGAACGAGGAGGAGCTGCTCGACTACGAGGAGGATGACGTAGCTGAGGCTGAGGCTGTTGGCAAGGCCGGCCAGGAGAAGAAGGGCTATGTTGGTATCCACGCGACTGGTTTCAAGGAGCTCATGCTGAAGCCAGAGCTCCTGCAGGCCATCGCAGACTGTGGCTTTGAGCATCCATCCGAAGGTATTCGCAGCCACTGCTGTTTTGAGCCTAACGTTGTGTGGAATAAGGTCCTCGGCACCCAGATCTCGTGACCCCCTGGCGCGGTTTGCCGCTTTTTTCTATGCAGTGCAACACGAGTGCATTCCGCATGCAATTCTTGGCAATGACGTGCTCTGCCAGGCGAAGTCTGGTATGGGAAAGACGGCAGTATTCGTTTTGTCCATTCTCCAGCAACTGGACCCCAAGCCCAACGAGTGTCACGCAATTATCTTGTGCCACACGCGCGAGTTGGCGTTCCAGGTATGATATACAGACTATGGCATAGACTGGATAGTCATCATTATGGGTGCTGAGCTTATGCGCCGTTCTATTACAGATTTGCCACGAGTTCACACGTTTTAGCGCAAGAATGAAGGGCGTGACAATCGGGAACTTCTATGGAGGCATTCCTGTTACACAAAACAAGGAGACGCTCAAGAAGTCGGTCCCGAATATTGTTGTCGGAACGCCCGGCAGGATTAAGCAGGTGAGTGGTTTGCTCGCAGAGGTTACGGTTATACCGGGGTAAACCACTAAGGCTAAAACTGAGACAATAGTCACTGACGTTGTACTGCTTCGCGTCATTCTTTAATCCTCCGCAGCTGGCCAAGGAGGGGGCGCTCCCCTTGAAGCACGTGCGCTTCTTCGTGCTGGACGAGTGTGACAAGATGCTGGAGAAGCTTGGTGAGACTGACACCTAAATGTTCACATGCTTTGTGGTCTTAAATGTGTTTAACGGGAGATTTTGGTTGGTAAGGTTCCGGATGTGTATGCCGTACAGCATGCCTCCGGACCGTCTCCTGATTCGCCTGTGTCTATCTGCCTGCAGATATGCGTGCGGACTGCCAGGAGATCTTTAAGATGACGCCACACGAGAAGCAGGTCATGATGTTTTCCGCTACGCTTAACCCGGAGATGCGAGCCGTCTGCAAGAAATTCATGACCAACGTACGTTATTGGCGTCAGTGCTATCGCCGCATGTCGCAAGTGTCTCGTCCCGTGGGTGTTAAGGCCCAAGGGTCGGACTTCCTTCCAGCATCTCCAGATCTAGCAGCCTCCTGGCCCCTTGAGCTCCGGCAGCCGGTTGGACGGCGCTCCTCCGCTGCCTGAACACTGGACGCTTGCGAGAGCTGTCTGTTGGATGCGAGGATGACCCGGCCCTTGGGCACCTTGGTGAAGGCTGTGGGCGTCTCTTGAAGCTCGGCCAGGGGTCGTGCAGCAGGTTATGCGTTGTTCGGTCGGGCACCGGGCGAGCTGTGCCGTCGTCAGCATCGCGCGTTTGGAACATGTTTCAGTATTTTTGACCTGCGTACGCGCGAACAAATGTGCAGCAATGCACCAGCGGGTCACATCCAGCACATGCAACAGTACGATCGTTTATTTGAACAGCAACCTTGTCACCCACTTTATTTTTTACGCTGGTAATTGCCTCGGGTTTGCTTGATGTGACTCTGTTTGGCAGCTTGTCTGGCGGGGTGTCAGCACCCGGCAGCCGGCGGGCAATCACTGGCGCCCATCTCAGCACTTACCAGCCAGCGTGGCAACAGGGCCAGTAACGGATTTGCAGCGCTTTCGTTCTTGAGATTGGCGCCTGCGCGCCCTTCCTGTCTTCCTGCTTCCGCAGCCGCAAGAGGTGTACGTGGATGACGAGTCCAAGCTCACCCTGCATGGGTTGGTGCAGCACTACGTCATGTTGCACGAGGAGGAGAAGAACCGGAAGCTCAACGACCTGCTCGACGCTCTGGACTTTAACCAGGTTAGGCTATGACCGTTTCCTGGGTTAGCTTGGGCGCAAAGAAGGGATGTCTGATGTTATGCGCAGCGCCAGCATGCGGCTAAGCACAATCGTTCTTCACATCACCAGGTGGTCATCTTTGTGAAGAGCGTTGCCCGAGCCAAGATGCTCAACCAGCTTCTCAACGAGTGCAACTTCCCAAGCGTCTGCATCTATGGAGGCATGGAGCAGGAAGAGCGCATTAAGGTTTGTGTTCCCTGAAACCGAGTTCTCTGTTTTCATTGGGCACTATTCTGAATGATTGTGGTTAAAGCTATATACATGTAGCCTTGTTATGAAGCACGGGGGTCAGGATACCCAGCCCAAGGCCTTGCGAAGAGTTACGAGCTGAAGCAGTGGGTATGCAACCCTGGGGACTTCAGTTTTTTGGCTTTCATGGGAGTCCCCAGAAGATGTCCAATAATCGTCTTGCAAATGCTTAAATGCACCATTGCTGCCAAGGAAAGCTTGCTGCGGCAAGTGCTACACTGCATTGCAACCTTGATTAAAGACTTGAAGGAGCCTCTTTGGCTGTCGCGTGTGCTCAACTGCATGAATAGGTATATAAAAACTTCAAGGAGGGCAAGCACCGCATCCTGGTTGCTACCGATCTAGTTGGCCGCGGTATCGACATCGAGCGCGTCAACATTGTTATCAATTACGACATGCCAGAGTCGGACGACAAAGCGAAGGGCGAGTCCAAGCACGGAAATGGCGCAGACACCTACTTACACAGGGTGGGTAACTTCACCATGTTACTCTGCTTATATTGTTCGACCCGGCGCAGGCGTCGCTGTTTGTGACTCGTGTTCGTTGCAAGTACTACGGCTTGTGAAATGGTTTGTCGGTGGAACTGCAGGTGGGACGCGCTGGCCGCTTCGGCACGAAGGGCCTGGCCATCACCTTCGTGTCGTCGCAGGAGGACTCGGCAGTACTTAACGCTGTGCAGGACCGGTTCGATGTGGACATCAAGCCGCTGCCGGAGAAAATTGACGCTAGCACATACATGAACACGAACTAAATGCAGGTCTAGGCTCGCGCAGGCTAACTGGTTGTAGATTACGAAGTTTGACTGGGTCAGCTGCTTCACGCTTACGCTTACGGACGCAGTTGCGCATACGTTTCAGCATGTTGCCTGCAATGCTGCGGCGTTGTTTTTTGGTGACCTTTAGGACTTTACGCACGCCTTGTTCCTCAGTGGTTGTGGACGTGGGAATGTGCGTGGCTAGGCAGAAGTGGCTGGGTAGTTGATTCCTACTGCCATTGACGTGGGTACTGGACAAGCTAGTTTGTGCACAGACGCGCTCTGGACAGGCTAACTCGCGCACAGACGGAACGGCGTTAAAGTTTAATGACTGGTGACAGCTATGACTACTTGTTGTGGATGCGTCAGCATGACGTACAACGGTATAAGCCGAGGGGTGTTCAAGGGGAACGGTGAAGTGTGCACGCCACTTCGGCGCAATTGTAAAGGATATGCTTGTGATTTGCTTGTTTTCCCGGAGTTACCTGTGCAACAGTGCCAAAAGGCACGTGCAGCTGTTGGGGCACTTACTAATCAAAGCCTCGTCCGGCCATTCGATTCCTCGGTATCTGCCGCGACATGTTAAATATGTAAATTCTTTACCATATCGCCATTATGCTCAGATAGTCTTCATTTTTCATTGGAATGAATCGAAAAGGCGACGTCACCCAACAATATGAAAAGCCTTGTGCATTGCGCACAATATCCTTTACAGCTATGCAACGCGCCCGTGCAACAATAGAGGATTTCGCGAAATCTTATTTCGCTTATTTTGGACTCAGTCTTCCAGATGTGAGCTGCCAAAAGCGTTAACTTCAAGCGTTGCGGCTTCATTTGCGGCGCCCCTAAGTCTCTGTACAGCCATGCATGTGCAACGTATTCAGTATGCACGAATAACCTTTTGCGCATGTCGTTTTAATACCAGTTATCCAAATCAATAATACCTGTTGCCGTACGGCAAATGACGTTTTGCGAACTTAGGACCTTTTGAAGTACCTTGATGTCCTGGTGTGGGTGGAGGCGACCATCTACCAGCTTGACGAAGACAACGAGCGGTTGACTGCAGGCGGCATCCTCGACCCCGACCCCGCTGCTGCGGGTATGTGCACGAACGCACAACGTGCTCACCATCGCGCATAAAAGAGTGTCCCTCACGGCCAACTCTTGGGGTTGGTGGTTACTGTGCTGCCGCAGCGCTATATTCCCCGGAGATTTCGGGCCGACCATTCGACTGGTATTATATCCTTTTGTGCTTAACAACAGGTATCCTGGTTATATGCGGTGTCCTGGAGCAGCAGGGCCTTATGGATGCGGCCCTGTATAAGGAACTTCAGCAGGTGCGTGGATTGAAGTTGTAAGGGGACGGATCTATGGACGAACCCGCAGTCGGACCCAAGCACCGGTAGCATATCGTCATGTGCGGCTGGGATGTGGGCGGGGAGGGACTTGCGGCGTCTTCCTTCCCTTCACAGTCTTTCCGCCGCGACCCAGTGACAGACAAGCGCCCGCGACTATCCTACCCCACTTCCGGTGCCTGGCCTACGTCCATCGCGCAACAGAAGCACCGTGACGCACTGTCGTGGTTGCACCGCTGCATAACTGTCCTCACGCTGGCACTGATGCTGAGCCAAAGACATGGTCTACAGCCCATGCATAATCCATGCCGCCTCCTTTTCCACCTTCTGGGCGCAGGGAATCCGCTACTGGTCGCTGGAGCAGGACATCTGCCGCAGACTGCTGCAAGCACCGCGTCCGCTTCAGACTCCCGCGCAGTTGACGGCTGCTGAGGTGCTCGAGTGCCATTCTGCCAAGAGCTTTGACTACCGGGTGAGCCTCCGCAGCCTGGGGTGAGGGTTCAGCAGAACCCCCATGGCCCCATTCCTCCGCTGCCCACGCTGCGGCCGGGCATATGCAGCCAGGCAACCAGAGAACCAGGGGGGAGGTGGCAGGGGGCCGTGAGGAGTCCACAAAACGAAATCCCGTAGCTATTTCGCGCATCGAGGAGCTAAGGTTCCTTGCGGGTCAAATGTTTTCTGTGGCGCAGTCGAGGCCGGTTAGGACGGCGTGTGCGGACGGCGTCTCGTCAGGGGTATAACCCACAGAGCCGCAGCTCCCCAGCCTATGTGGCGAGGTGTCACGACCTGCATGGCCCCAACGGAACCAGAGGGGACTCCTGATTGCAGTGACTGAGGCGACAGCTGTGGCCACGAAACAACACTAAGGATTAACTTCACCTGCTGCCGCTGCTGCTGCTGCTGCAGCTGTTAGTTCTGCCATGCATGTGCGAGCTGGAGAATCATGAAAACGGCAATGGGCAGTATCTGATTGGCGCCGCTGGCAGGAGCTGGTCCCTTCGACCTCCGGCCATAATAAGTCCTCCATAATTCGCCCTGTCGTTGTCCTGTTTCGGGGCCGTCCTGGATATGCAGCTGGCTGTGGCCCTACCCGAAAGAACCCGCCTTGTAGAGCTGCCCCCTGGGGTTGGCGAGTTCCCCCATGTCTATGGCATAAGAGGGGGGAAGCGGCTGCAGTGACCTCGCCAAGGAGGGGGAAGGGGAGATCTGCGGAGGCTGACCACGTACTGATGAAGCTTGAAATTTATGAATCCCGTCCCATGGGGCCCAGATAGCGGGTGCGGGAGCGCCTGGTGTGGCGATGTAAAGTACTGGTGGGGGACAGTTGTGGCTACATCGCCAGGATTAACGTGACCCGCCAACCCGACGTGTCCAGGTTCTCTGCTTGCTTCTGTTCCGGCTGACCCGGACGTCGTACAATGAGGCGTTGTTGTCGTTCCTACGGGTCGACGAGATGCTTGTGGACATTAGTGACGACTTGGTGGACTATGAGGTGGGGTGGGATAAAACGGGGGTCGGGGGGTTGCGTGTGTATGTGTGTGTGTGTCTCTATGCCTGTGTCCGTGATATACATACACACACACACAAACACGCATGCCCCGAAAGGAGCATTCCCGTGTCAGTTCCCAACCGCGGTTTTTCTCCACATTTCTCTCGCCCGCAGGACGACGTGTTGGGCAACTCCTTCAACATCTTCCGATGTGAGGAGTGCGTGTGCCGCCTGGGAGGGGGTCAATGTACGGAATCCCGCAGGGTTTAGGCGCACAGGTCTAGACTGGTTGGGAAGCGTGTGTTCCTGCCACCCTGTCAGGGAACCTTGCTCGTCAGTCATGACGCGCCCACACTGTACTACGCCATACGAACTGGTTGATCCTGCCTTCTAGGATCACTCCTCATCCATTCACCCGAACATCCGCAGAGACAGAGGGTTCAGCAATCGCCACCAATCCAGCGTGCGAATCTCGATCCACCAACTGTGATCTCAACTCCACATCTCAGCAGCTAGCCATAATCTCACGCTCCCGACAACGTCGAACCCAGGACCTTAAACTGTATATGACAGTAGCCTCGCCCAGACCAGACCAACAGGGTTGGCTGGCGGGCAGAGGGGGATCAATGTCAGACTAGCCCCACCTAGTCGCGGATTAGCTGGTAACCTCCGGGCGGGGGGGACTGCGGAGCGGCGGCTTAGCGTGTTGTTAAAAATGGTGAACGGAAGTATGGGGGCTCCTCGCACTGAGGTTCACACTTTCCCTGGTGTGTTGAAGCCAAATGGGCTCCCCCGGGTCCGTCCGGTTCAATCTTTTTTACGGAGGTTTCTCGCGATAATGGAGAGGCTTCAACCGTCCTTGCTGCCGTACATAACGGTGGTTAGGAGCAATGTCCGTCAGGGGCCAGAATTTCAGGAATGCAAACAGGTCGACCCATCGCCCAAGACGTGCCCACGCTCCCTCGTACCCCTTCCCTTGCGTTCGCCTCTGTGCCGCCAGGTTACATCCATCTGTACGGCAGGGAAGCTGAGCTGAAGCTGGTGATTTGGGGCTATGTCAGGGGCAAACGTTACATTGACATTAACACGCCCAGAGGGGTCGGCTGCCGCGGCGGGTACCGCTGACCCATGTTCATATGTCGGTATGCTGCTGCTGCTGCTGCTGCTGCTGCTACTACTGCTACTTCTGCTGCCGTTGCTGCTGCCGTTGTCATTGCTCCTGTTGTTAGCTATTTGACAGTTTTTTTTATGGTGTTGGTTATTGATGATGGTATTGGTCATTGTTTTCTTCGTCGTTGACTTCCAGGTGGAGCGTATCAGCGGGCTGGAGGAGCAGCACGGCCGGCTGCTGGGGGCCCTAACGGAGGAGGCCCGGGAGCATTACTGGAAGCGACACCTGGAGGCCTGTACGGGACAAGGTGGGAGGGTGAGGGTGAGGGCCCGGGGCTTGGGCGGGCGTGGAAGAAGGCGTGCGACGCAGCGGGAAATCCCTGGGAAGGGCGGAAGGGAGGGAGGCTGTAGCTGGTATGGACTGCAGCCCAGCACGTGTAGGCGGACGGACGAGGGAAGGAATTCATAGGAAGGAGCGCCGCCGGCTGACTCGGGTATGACCCGACCGGAAACGACCGTTGCAAGCCAGCACCAACCACGGAAGGTCGCCGGCTTACAGCGGGGGGGCACCCGGTGGGTCACCGGCACCTAGGCGTGAGCACCAGCACAGCATGGGCTCAGGGAGCTAGGAGCTTTGTTTGAGGGGCTTATGAGCCGAGTGAGCCGGGCAGTGCAGTGCCCCATGATGGCTCGGCGAGGGGGTGGAGACGAAATGGCGGCTTCGGAGTGAGCGGCACCCGTCTTGACGAGTGTGTGTGTGTGTGTCGGGACGGGAGATGAGCATGGTGATGCGTTTTGTGGTTTTCGTCATTCCTGGCAAGGCAGAGCGGCGCGTGGCCCCCCGGGCAGGCCCCCCCTGGACTTTTCCCATTTCCTCCCTCCTCCTTTTGTCACTACCCCCAATTCCTTCGAACCCGTTGCTCCGCTACCGTTCACCTAGGGTCGGACCGGTGGGTGTTCCCGAGCCCTATATACGACGAGGCTGCATATCGGGAGCGAGTCCGGCGCGAAGAGGCGGACGCGGAGGCCGCTGCTGCAGCTGCCCGTGCCGGTGCGGCTGCGGCTGCTGGGTCGGCTGCTGCGCTGCCGGGGAACATTGCGACCCCGGCTGAGACAGCGATGACGGCCGCCGCGCCGGGGTTCCACGGGGGGCTCCAGGGCCCTGGATCTGTTGGACTTGTTGGGACTGCGGCGCCAGGGCCGTCAGGAGGCGGGGGGGTGGCTGTGTTGGAGAGCACCGGGAAGTCCTCCACATAACCCACACGGGGATGCGTCGAGTGCTGTTACCGGCTGTGCCCAATAATGCCTGACCGTGCTGCTACGCATGGTTCACGTGTAGGGTGGGGGGTAATGGCTGCGACACGGCTTGGGAATACAGTAGAAAGCCACGACCTAAAGCGCATATGTACATGTAAACGTGCGTGACTGCCTGGCGACAGGAGGCCGTGTTGACTGGTTGGGACTTTGCCTGTGTCGCCAGGTGCGGACTAGGTGGTTTACGGAGAGTCCTGGAAGCGAGAACCACCTCGTTCACCGAAAAGCTGTTACGCCGCGGGCTTGCGAGGATGGCCAGAGTGTTGGGCTTTTGTACAGCCGTACAGCCTGGACGCCGAGATGTTGGGGGAGGGTGGTAAAGGTGAGGGAAGGTGAAT